TTTCACGAGCTATCCTTAACTAAGACATTCAACTTGATCCTGAAAAGAATCAAGTGACTGGTGACCAGAAATACAAGGTCATCACTAATGAGCAAATTTTAAGTCCAGCCCGTAGGCCTCAGATGCAGCTGACGCATTCATTCACTCATCCGTTGAGTACTTAGGCACTATGCACACAAAGACGGGCAACATATGAGCGCTGTAATAGAGACTTAACTAGTTCACTCAAAATCAGAAACAGGAAGATCCACATCTCGGAGGTCAAGTAACAGAGGGCACGACGCCTTACCTACCAAATGACATGCGCAAAAGCCCACTGGCAAAAAGGCTTCTGACCAACTTTTCAACTGGGGAAACCTGAACGCTAGAATAGAAGTGGGGCATGTAGGGCTGTAGCATGAGCTACAGCACTGTAGGTCACACTAAGAAGTCCACATTTTACCCTTTGGGAAATAATGAAGCACAGAAGAATTTTAAGCAGAAGGCAAATGTGACAAAATTTGAATTCTTAAGAAGATCGTGCAGCTATGAAAAAAGAACTAGAGAGGATAAAGAAATGAGCCAGCCCAGAGCAGGGACAGCCAGTTAGAAGGCAGCTGCAGCAATCAAGAGAGGAAATAATAAAGACCCGAATCAAGGTAACTGAAGCTGCAAACAGGGAGTGAGAGGTAGGGGGTCTACCAGAAGGTGAATCAGTGGGATGTAACAGTGAAGGGTGAGAACAGGGGCAAGAGGAGGATGCCTCCAGGTTTCTGGGTAGCCTGGAAAATGATGCCATACATGCAGAGGGGCAAATCTGCAAAAGAAAATTATTTTTATATTAATCTGTGCTGTGCCATGTTGGCCATGGAGGTTGTGCTGCTCAGATGAAGAGAACCTGCTGCAGGAAGCAGAGCTGCCCAACAGTGCCAGCAGCTGTCCCTCCGGCTCCTCGGAGGCCAAGGTTGCCCCTGCAGCTGTCCACTAAAGCCAGCCCCTTCCTGTTCCACAGAGGACAGGACACTCCTCTAGCGGGCAACTGCTGCTCCGTGACTGCCCATCGGCCTGGCAAGACTTCCTTGGAACTGTGCTGCAGCCGGAGGCTCTTCCTGCCCAAACAGCTCCCTCTCCTCGCTGGTGTCAGCCCTGCATCCGGATCTGAGGGCTCCCCCCGCCTGCTTCTGTTCCCTTCTCTTAATGCCCCACAAACATTTCCCCCAATAAATCAGTCTTGCATGGTCAATCCCATTTTGGCATCTACTTCTTGAAGGAGCTGAACGAACACACGGCAGCATGGAGGACATCACGTAAGCAGTTGGAGGGGCAGATTTGGGTGTCATTGTGCACAGGAATCACTGCCCCTGGCTTAGAATGAACCTGCTCCTTGCCTTCATACCCTGAGGGGCACACCGATGTTTCATAACACATTCCTACGTGCGCTAACGGCTGGAGGGTGGCTATTGGCCAGAGGTAGGCAACATAAGATATTTGGAATAGTTATGTGGATGAGGTTTTAGACCTCTTCGATTAAATTTAGCATTAGAAACCACAGGCAGAGGGATTTTTAGCATCTACCATAGTCCTAACATTAATCTGTGGATAAACTAAGTGACATCCTATAATTCTTGGATCTTCAGGCCGCATTAAAATAAGAACTGGACTATGGGTTTGTTCCATCCTTTCCAAGCACAAGATACTAAGTACAAAAGCATTAGAACAGGAAAAGTCAATATCCTTCAGTACTTCAGAACTCAGCATTCCTCTGTTTAGTGGAAGTCTTCCCAGCAAAATGCCATCTGACTCTGCCCAGCAGCACATACTTAGTTGACTCACCACTGTGCCTGTGAACTTACTTTTAAAGCCTTAATTGGCTATATAAATATGATTATGGGGTGTGTTTGTTCACGTTATAAAATATTTTAATGAGTTCCATCTCAACCTTACCTTGAACTTCTTTCATTCCCTCTGTAATTTGCCAAATCATATGCACAGTTAAAACTAAGCATTGCAACAAGTAGAAATGATGATGAAATTTTATTGATAAACCACACAGGAATTGCGTCTTCATGCAAATCATCTAAATGGCTAGATTCTCTAAGTGATTACAATTTTTAATGTTTAAGTGTGCAAAAATCACTACAGTAAAGCCATTTGTGTTTAAGCCACACAGGTTGCCAACAGTGGGCATACACCCAGCTTTCTTGCCCTAATGATATACTCATCTAGGTAGAGGACACCTGGTTAAGCTAAAAAAAGGAAGTAAAACAGGACTATAGTCCTTAGAAAACATCCACAGTGTGTAGATAAAGGAAAAAGACAAAGAAAGAAGGCAAGATAATTAAATTTGTACTACAACTGTCCAGCAAAAACATGGTAATAATTCTTCTGGTCTATGTCAAGAGTGTTATGTCTGCACTTTTTAGCTCGAGACTATGCAGATAGTTATATGATACAGTCTATGCAAAGTCACACTTGATATTTAAGATGGATGTAAAAACAGTAGGTCAATCTCAAATAACTACAATAATAGTAGAATTCAAACTTAAGTTCTCCTTTCACCAAGAGGTCAAATTACATTATGTATCTGCCTCAATTTATATGTCAGAGGGACAATAAACTCAGGCTAGAAATGTTTTTGTAGTCTAAAAATCATCTTTCATGCAATCATTCATTAACACTTGTAGCTTTACACTAAATTATTTTTATCTCTCTTGCAGTCTTCCTATCTGAAAAGAAGTAACACAAAAATCACAATCATGTATTTAGTGAAGAGCATTTGGGGAAAACAATTATTCCATTTTTACAGATTAAATAAAAAAATTCTAAATACTTAGCAAGCCTATAATTTAATTTATTGTCTATCAAAATTATCTAACATATCTGAATTATAAACATAGTTATAGCAGTAGACATTAAACATTATTAGAAATATTCACAGGTAAGCAAACACAAGCCAAGATACAATATGCAATTAATGTTGCATAAAGGTCCTAGCTCTCTTTAAGACATTAGTGAACACTGCAGAGGTAAGCATTTATATTCTAATAGTTGTTTGTTTTCTTAAAATTGGTCAAATTACATAAGGAACCACAAAATAATTTACCTTTTTGAGCTTCTGGATCCATTAAGGGATGAACTAATGGATGGCTATGTATTGATGCTTTCTTGATCGTTTCTTGAAAACTAGGCAAATAATACACCAAAATATCAAATGGCAATAATTAAAATGTGCATTAAGAGCTTTTACATTTACCTAATAAAGTTTAACATAAAATAGAGCAGAGAAAATTATGTTAAAATACTTATTTTAGAAAGACCATCAAAACACAATCTATCCAGTACAAATCAAAATTCAGACAAAGGTTTTAGAGTCAGAAATTTTAGAAGCTGCTGGCAAACAAAATACATTCTTCACCAGACATGACTTCAATGATCACAAAGAACAGCATCATCTTTATATTTCTAGTCAGATAGCAATCCTAATACTTAAGAAGTGATTTAAACATTGGGAGACAATGTAGTTTATTCAGTGTAGTGAAAAATATAGTATTAATCTAAAATAAAGCTTCCTACATAGCAACAGATGCAAAGATCCCTTGTTCCTGTCAATGTGTCATTAGCATGGCTCCAGTGTCAAACAGCCCAGTCACCAAAAGGTCATTTAAGTACCTTCTCCTTTAAAGATTCCATACCATCTCAGCAAACATATTTAACATTGAAGAAATTACATTATGTCTCTCAAATAAAGCACATCATAAGCTTAAACTAGCTGTGGTTCCAACTTCAGAGAACAACGATTTGATGTTTTACATCTCTGTTTTGGCTCACAAAATAATTACTGTACAACCATGAATTTACATAGTAGTCCTTTCTTCCAAGGATCCCAAAACACTTTTCACAGCCACCACATTTTCTTTACAGTATGCCTCCGTAAGTTAGAAAACTATTTTTCCTACCGTTTACAAACAAGGAAAACAAAAGGTTAAGTCATGTTCCTGAGGTCACATGGTTCAACAGTAGTCAAAGTGGCTACAGGTTTTGTTCCCAATTTAGTTTTATCTTCCATTAAAGAAAGCAGCCTTATTATACAAAGTCAGCCTGAAGGTCAAATTTATTAAATGTTAAGTATCTACCATAGTCCTAACATTAATCTGTGGATAAACTAAGTGACATCCTATAATTCTTGGATCTTCAGGCCGCATTAAAATAAGAACTGGACTATGGGTTTGTTCCATCCTTTCCAAGCACAAGATACTAAGTACAAAACCATTAGAACAGGAAAAGTCAATATCCTTCAGTACTTCAGAACTCAGCATTCCTCTGTTTAGTGGAAGTCTTCCCAGCAAAATGCCATCTGACTCTGCCCAGCAGCACATACTTAGTTGACTCACCACTGTGCCTGTGAACTTACTTTTAAAGCCTTAATTGGCTATATAAATATGATTATGGGGTGTGTTTGTTCACGTTATAAAATATTTTAATGAGTTCCATCTCAACCTTACCTTGAACTTCTTTCATTCCCTCTGTAATTTGCCAAATCATATGCACAGTTAAAACTAAGCATTGCAACAAGTAGAAATGATGATGAAATTTTATTGATAAACCACACAGGAATTGCGTCTTCATGCAAATCATCTAAATGGCTAGATTCTCTAAGTGATTACAATTTTTAATGTTTAAGTGTGCAAAAATCACTACAGTAAAGCCATTTGTGTTTAAGCCACACAGGTTGCCAACAGTGGGCATACACCCAGCTTTCTTGCCCTAATGATATACTCATCTAGGTAGAGGACACCTGGTTAAGCTAAAAAAAGGAAGTAAAACAGGACTATAGTCCTTAGAAAACATCCACAGTGTGTAGATAAAGGAAAAAGACAAAGAAAGAAGGCAAGATAATTAAATTTGTACTACAACTGTCCAGCAAAAACATGGTAATAATTCTTCTGGTCTATGTCAAGAGTGTTATGTCTGCACTTTTTAGCTCGAGACTATGCAGATAGTTATATGATACAGTCTATGCAAAGTCACACTTGATATTTAAGATGGATGTAAAAACAGTAGGTCAATCTCAAATAACTACAATAATAGTAGAATTCAAACTTAAGTTCTCCTTTCACCAAGAGGTCAAATTACATTATGTATCTGCCTCAATTTATATGTCAGAGGGACAATAAACTCAGGCTAGAAATGTTTTTGTAGTCTAAAAATCATCTTTCATTAACACTTGTAGCTTTACACTAAATTATTTTTATCTCTCTTGCAGTCTTCCTATCTGAAAAGAAGTAACACAAAAATCACAATCATGTATTTAGTGAAGAGCATTTGGGGAAAACAATTATTCCATTTTTACAGATTAAATAAAAAAATTATAAATACTTAGCAAACCTATAATTTAATTTACTGTCTATCAAAATTATCTAACATATCTGAATTATAAACATAGTTATAGCAGTAGACATTAAACATTATTAGAAATATTCACAGGTAAGCAAACACAAGCCAAGATACAATATGCAATTAATGTTGCATAAAGGTCCTAGCTCTCTTTAAGACATTAGTGAACACTGCAGAGGTAAGCATTTATATTCTAATAGTTGTTTGTTTTCTTAAAATTGGTCAAATTACATAAGGAACCACAAAATAATTTACCTTTTTGAGCTTCTGGATCCATTAAGGGATGAACTAATGGATGGCTATGTATTGATGCTTTCTTGATCGTTTCTTGAAAACTAGGCAAATAATACACCAAAATATCAAATGGCAATAATTAAAATGTGCATTAAGAGCTTTTACATTTACCTAATAAAGTTTAACATAAAATAGAGCAGAGAAAATTATGTTAAAATACTTATTTTAGAAAGACCATCAAAACACAATCTATCCAGTACAAATCAAAATTCAGACAAAGGTTTTAGAGTCAGAAATTTTAGAAGCTGCTGGCAAACAAAATACATTCTTCACCAGACATGACTTCAATGATCACAAAGAACAGCATCATCTTTATATTTCTAGTCAGATAGCAATCCTAATACTTAAGAAGTGATTTAAACATTGGGAGACAACGTAGTTTATTCAGTGTAGTGAAAAATATAGTATTAATCTAAAATAAAGCTTCCTACATAGCAACAGATGCAAAGATCCCTTGTTCCTGTCAATGTGTCATTAGCATGGCTCCAGTGTCAAACAGCCCAGTCACCAAAAGGTCATTTAAGTACCTTCTCCTTTAAAGATTCCATACCATCTCAGCAAACATATTTAACATTGAAGAAATTACATTATGTCTCTCAAATAAAGCACATCATAAGCTTAAACTAGCTGTGGTTCCAACTTCAGAGAACAACGATTTGATGTTTTACATCTCTGTTTTGGCTCACAAAATAATTACTGTACAACCATGAATTTACATAGCAGTCCTTTCTTCCAAGGATCCCAAAACACTTTTCACAGCCACCACATTTTCTTTACAGTATGCCTCCGTAAGTTAGAAAACTATTTTTCCTACCGTTTACAAACAAGGAAAACAAAAGGTTAAGTCATGTTCCTGAGGTCACATGGTTCAACAGTAGTCAAAGTGGCAACAGGTTTTGTTCCCAATTTAGTTTTATCTTCCATTAAAGAAAGCAGCCTTATTATACAAAGTCAGCCTGAAGGTCAAATTTATTAAATGTTAAGTCTGGACCTACCTACAAGAGTTCGCTGCGTTTCTAGGAGGTTAAGAAGTACCATCCACGGCTTTTGTTTTGCTGATGAAGCTCTCTGATAGTGCCCGGAAGAGACGAGCACCAAAGCACGCAGTTTACTACGGTGCGTGCCGGCAGCGAGTCCTCCCGGACGGGATCAGGATCCTGACAGCTGCAGCTTCAGAGCCGCTGCTCACACAGCAGGGAGGCTGGAACACCCATAAATAAGGGGGCTGAAGAGCAGTAGGAATACTCCATGTGAATGTCTCATGAACAGAGCTGGAGCCAACAGACGAAACCACTTCCACAAGAGTGAAGGCTGGGCGAGGAGATCCATTTTTTGACTTCAGTGCCAATAGTTACTTAAGGCTCCACAGCTTTTGACGTCCTATGCAACCAAGTCACGTATTTTTCATATCACCTGTCTGGGTGCGAACACCGTTTCTGGAATGAGACAACCACACCAGAATGTTTGAGAATGTGTGCAGCAGCCCTCTGGGTGCAGGAATCAAATTATGATTTCCCACTTAGACTGAGCAGGACGCCTGAGGGTGTGTGTCCCCCACACCTGCATGTGTGCACGCAGGACTGTTACGGCTCTCTGAAAATATCCTTCCTAAAAAGTTTTTACAGGTTACAGAATCAAGCAACATTGTAAAGTCAAACAAAATTAGAAGCATGGGTATGGCTTCTAAGAAATACTTTCTATACCATGATATATATATATATATGTATTTGTGTACGTATATGAAGCTGAGATCATGTTAACAATATTGGACAGGACTAGCAGTCTGGGAGCCTAACTTTAGTTATTCTTGTCAATAATTAGCTTGTGATTTTAGGCACTTGATGTGTTTCTTGGCTTTTTCATCTAAAAAACAGGTATATGAACAGCACACGATATATATTTGTGGGATGAATGTTGCAGATAAAAACATTCTGAAAATGCCAAGGGCCTAAACAATAAAACAATTATTCATAGGTAATTAATTCCAAATGGAGGGCTCTCTTAAAAACAAAAATAATCACTTGGTGAATAAAAATCACCTTTTCCAAGGAGTTATTTAATAGATCATGAAATCTCAGTGGTGGATTTCTTAAGAGGAAAAAATCCCTAACTCAAGCATCTAAACAGATATGATGACAATGATTATACTGAACTGTTTAAGTTCATAGAGACTTCTGCCTCATGCTCTAAGTAGCTTATAGAAGTCTGCTTCTGAGAACTAGAAAAGCAAACACACACGCGCACACACCTGTTAGAAGGCATCAGAAAGCTGCCGAGGCAGCAAAGAACTCCAAGCTCTTGCTGATTATTGGTGTAAAGAGGCTGAGAAGCCAGAGAGGATGAGGAAGGAAGCAAGCAGAGCTTTAGGCAATCTCACAGAACTGGGGAGACAAAAGAATAGGCCAGGAACTGGGAGCCCAAGATCCCAGAAAGAAGGGACAGAGAGGTAAGCCTGACACTCCGCACTAACTTCCCCATCAGGCTGTTTGCTCAGCTTAGGGCAAGAGGTTGATTTTCCAAGCATAACGTGGTTAAAGGCACAGCAGGACTCAAAAGAAGAGAAACACCCCAGCAGTCAGTTGCTACCCTGGGAAGCTACTTTTTAGGAATGGAGAGAAATCAGAAGGAGTCATACAAAGGCTGCAAACCAGCCTTGAATCTACTCTTCCAGATTCCAGTGAGGTGACCTTTCCCTCTGCTGCCCACCACCCGGGACATCTGATTAGATTTACGTTCAAGTCACATTTTCTTGGTAGGTGAAGGTGGTAAACATCTCTAAACTTGTTTCTTCCCTTGTAAAATAGTGTGTCTTGGTTGAAATGTCATGAGAAAAAAGTGTATCATGTCAAACTGCTCCATAAATACTGTACTTATGGCTAAATTACAAATGGTCCTGAATATCTGGTTTTTCCCCCTCTTCCTGGGTACATAGCCCAGATAGAGATTATATTTCTGAATATTTCCAGTATGCTTTGAAAATATGCTCAGTTCAGCTCAACAAAACGAGAGCAGCAGTGTTTTATGTGTTCACAAGACATTCTGTGCCCAGGACATCGGCTCATTCCTCTGCACAGGTTGAAGTGCAGATGTCACAGCGACCCGATGCAGACCCTTCAAGCAAGACCGCAGCCTTGGGGGCGGCTGAATCAGGGCCCCTGAATGACTGCACCACGCACAGCTGCCTTAACCACTCAGATGGGATAGAAAATTGAGTAAGAGATAAATAATGTCCCAGCTTATTTAGGCGATCAGAAAGGAAAACCTCCTTCCACCCACCGCAGTTCAGTCATCACACCAGCTACTGCAATGCAAAACAAATATCAATTGTCTATTAAAGGCAACAAAATTAAATTTTAACTACTGTTAAAAAGTCCAGGGAAGACTTTATGTAGTTGTGTGGAATGGCTGCTGTTCTGGAATGAGAAATAAGGATATCTTTCTTCTCGTCTGGGTTGCAAAGTCAGACGGGATGCATATTGACAGTGAGTACTGATCAATAGGAATCCTTCCCTCATTTTTTTTTTTATTGTTGTCAGAAAGCATCAGGCGATGTACAATAGAAGAAATGAGCAGACAAAGCCTGTGAGCACAAGGAAATACTCAATGAGATGGAAAACATCACAAAAAAAAGAAACATAATGGAATATAAATAATTGTCAAGTTTGGAAGCCATACTTTAAAAACCACACAAAAAACAAACTCTGTGCAAATGCCTTTAATTTTATTATTTCCTCACATCAAATTCATTAAGAAATGTGGAGTCACATGCAGTTACAGAGACACATACTTGTCTGAACTAGGTTTTCCGCTTCCTTCTTCTTGTACTTCTCAGTTTCCCCCTTTTCCTTCCAAACACAGACCTGGCCGTCACCAGGACGGGTGCCGTCTGCTCCCTATCGTCGTCGCTAGAACTGCTCGTAGTCACCCCTTGACCCCCAACAGGAGCAGGCTTCCCGGGGGTCTGCACATCTGAAGAGCTGACTCTTGACTCTGCAGCAGCGGCCGTTCCCCTTGGCATGTTCATTAAAGATAAGCACTCGGCATCCTCACCAGGAGATGCGTCCGATGACTGTGGGAGGTGGGCCTCCCCCACAAACCCGCCCGGTGCAGGCGCTCCTTGAGAATCTGAGAGCCTTTTTCTCTTCAAGCCTGACGCCTCCTCCCGTTTATTCGCTACGCTTCCCTTCCGGGTTTCCCCTTTGACCTTATCAAGGAGCCCAACTTCCTTCTCCAGGGCGACCGACGCTGCTTCTCGTTCTTTCCTCAGCATACATGTCACAGCTCTGTTGAGTCTCTGGCTCTTAATACTCTTGGCATCTTGTTTTTCCTGTTGAGCTAATCTAAAGAAAGAATCAATTCGAAGTTGTGTCTAAAAAAATGAAATAAAATAATAATGAATCAAACAAGTAAGTAAAGTCCCTGAAAGCAAACCAGAGCTGCACATGGGTCACCGGCACTCAGTGACTCTTTCAGAGAACGCGAATTCGTTCTCTCAGAAGCTGGGCCGATGGAAACTTTTACTTTCTAGGTCAGACTTAAAGCAGTATGTGCACCACTTCTGTCCACATCTCACATGAGAAATCCCTTTCTAGGCACTCAAAGAGAGTTACATATTTTCTTAGTAGCCAAATATATTATTTTGGGGCAACCAGTTTTATGGGGTCTGTTTCTAAATTCCACTCCTTCCTTCCTTTGAAAACATCATGATCATATGATACCTTTAGGAGGCAACTTCATAGTTTTATATGTGAAAGGCATAAAAAATATTCATGCCTTTTGTTCGACAAGTCCACTTTTAGAAAGACATTCTTAAAAAATAGTTACATTTGGGAAAAGTTACATGCCTAATGTTCATTGCAGCACTATTAATGAAACCTGAAAATCAAAGGTCCGCTAAGTGAACTGAACCAACAAAGTTAAATCTCTTCAGTGAAATCCAATCTGGTCATTTGAAATTACAAGAACTACACAATATATAGAAAAAAACCTTACATTCATAAACTGGGGAGGGGAAGTAGGAGTTAGATATATCAAACTGTAGGTATGTTTGACAACAAAAAATATGTGGAGAGGAGGAAGATTAACAGAAAATAAACCTAAATGTTAACATTGGTGTTAGAAGTAAATAATAAGTAATTTTAATTCATTTTTTTCACTCTCTAATTTTAGAGAAATAAACTTATATTAACATCTATAAGGGAAAGGAAGAAAAATATTATGAGAAGTTTATCTGAAATAAAGATGTGATTGGTGGTCAGGCCACCCAACTGTCCTTGTCAGCGCTGTACACTGTTTCCAGAACACAGAGTCATCAAACTAAGGAAAGGAGATTTTTTGGACAGGTTGTCTGCCTTGGTTTTATGTTTTTTCAAAGTAACCCACCCAAATAGAGACGGATTTCAATATATTTATCTTACAGGATATGGTCTCCTTTCTGCCAGGTGGTCTACCCGTTTATGTTTTGGGTTGTTTCTGTGTGGCTAGGAATTACCCACGCGCAGAGCAAGGGGCTGTGACCTGCACAAAGGAGCTGAGGGCCACGCAAAGGCCCCTCTTCCCCTCAGAAACCTCTCCTGCCAGTATTCTATAGTGACTCAACTTCTACCTTTGATGCCATTTATAGAATTAAAAAGTTTTACTACTTGAAGACACTTTAATGGTCAGGACTACTTTGGGCTCAACACTTCCTAAACTTTTTAAAAATGAGAATACCTCTGAAAGCCTAAACTTTTTAACAATAAACACGTCTGTGTGCAATCCATCTTAGAATGGGCTTTTCAATGAGTGAGTGAATATGAAAGGACACCGAAGTCCAGTCCAAGAATGAACTGGGAAGTGAAGACAAAGTCCAGTTTTCCTTTTCCTGTTGCCTCTGTTCTCTTTTCTTAAGTATAACAACTTTAACATGTTACATGCCCTAAAATAAAAGAGTAACTGGTCTTTTGTAGCTGCCACTCACAGCCTTCCTAGTTCACTATTTACCCTGAACTTAGGAAGAGAGTTCCATGATTACCTGGTGGGTGTCCAGTTGCTTTAATACTGGAAGCAGAGTCTCATCTGTCTTCGCCCTGTTCCAGCCAAAATACCGCTGACAAAATATGCCGGCAGTTAAGGCTTATGCAAGATTTTAAAGATAATTAAACAAGTGATAAATAAAAAGGCCCAAAGAACCCACCCTTGATTCCCTGTATTTCCAAAGGTTTTCATGTTTTACAGATGAAAGGGGTAAAATAAAAAGGATAACAAAACAAACTAACATAATCATTGGGTACATTTCAATATCCTCTAAGATAAATGAAAAATATCCAACTCTCATTTTAGGACCTCGAAGACTTGTGACTATGAAAAAAGGTTTATCTAGAAGAAATACAGATTTCAGTTCAAATACATATTCCTTTGAGAGAAAAAAACTGTAGTTAGATTAATACTATTGTAAACTTGAACATCAATCCACATGATTATTTAAATACACAGAAGGACATCAGTAATAAAAAGAATAAAACTAATAATATTTTCTATCTTTCAGAATGACTAATACTTAAGTATGTGGTTGTATCTACAAATGTTTATCACTACTTATGTAAAATAAAGACCCTCTTTAATACTAAAAAGATTATTCACAATAGCTAAAACATGGAAGCAACCCAACCATCTGACAGATAAATGGGTAAACAAAATGTGGTATATCTATACAATGGAATATGGATCAGCCTTAAAAAGGAAGGAAATTCTGACACATGCTATAATATGGATGAAACTTGAAGACATTATACTGAGTGAAATAATCTACACACAAAGATACAAAAAGACAAGCACTAGATTCCACTTACATGAAGTACTTTAGTCAAAAGTCACAGAGACAGAATGTAGCACGCTGGGGGCCAGGGGCTGCAGGGGGCTATTTAATGGGTCTAGAGTTTCAGTTTCACAAAATGTTTTAAAAGAATATAGAGATGAATGGTGGTGACGATTGCAGAGCAATGTGAACGTATTTAATACCACAGAACTGCATGCTTTTAAGATGGCAAATGTTATGTGTATTCTACCACCAAAAAAAAAAAAACCCTAAGGAGAGAGAAAAAAGGAACTAAAGAAGCATCTTAGATAAATGGAGTGTCATGAAAAAACTGATCCAAGGTCATGTTCCCTAAGTATTAAAAGAAAACACATTTGGCTCAATGTTCCTTTTTGCTTTAAGAAAAGTGAAAGGATATTCCCTGATTTTGTCGAGATCGGGTCTGCCCCACAGAAACGACCCCCTGGAGTCGTCCACTGCGGGTCTGAGGTAAGCGTCCGCCACGGCGGGATTCGGAAAGCCAGGCGTGAGCTGCAACTTGCGTAATTTTTTTTTCACCTTGGTGTCATAAGGATTAGGCCTTATCTTCTTATCTTTCTGAGCGTCGTGCCACCACTCTCTGTAAGGCAAAGGAGACAAGCCCTCACGAAGTGGTAAGACACTGCAGCAGAGGCACTGAAGACGAAGGCTACCTCAAAGTCAGGGCACGGGAGCGCAGGCCCGCCGTCCAAAACAAATCCTGCCACTTACAGAGTAACGCTTCTCTTTGTTTAGTGTCATTAACCACAGGACCTAATGACAGCAAACTCTGCCGGACCATTTATGTGCACCTGCCCTGGGCACACGCATCTGCACACCGATCAGCACATAAGCCTGGGCCTATCACCTCCTGCCTCACAGACGGGGAAACTGAGCACAGGGCACCTGCCCGGGATTTAACAGCTGGGCCTGCTACAGTCAGACTCTCACAGTCTCCCTCCTGCACCCAGAAAAAAGTCACGTCTCTGCTTCTCCATCTCAGTGGTAAAATGAAGCAATATGCCTATTATTTACCTCAAATCAACTATAAGAATAAACCCAAAATTACTTAATAAAATGTAAAAATGCAAAGAACATATTCAATTTTAAAAATGTAGAACAATCCTCTTTAGAAAGTATAGTCCCAGTTTTGGAGAAAATGCATATGTGTGGAGAAAGGGAAGAAATAAACAGGGATATATAAAATAATAATTAAAAAAACAACTTATTTTACTGTACGGTAGGCAATGCTCTAAGTGAGGATACAACTGTTCATTTTCTTCTTTATATTCTATTCAAATTTCAACTTCTCCATTATGAGCATAAATTCTACAGCAGATTAAAGAGCCACACTTTCCTTGACCCTCCTCCCATCAAGAAGTGGGGCCCATGTGCCCTCCCCTTGAGTGAGGGCAGGCCCGAGACTGAGGAAGTGGCACTGCCAGGCCTTCAGGGACTGTGGCTTCCATACCCTGCCTCTTACACTGTTTGCCTGGAAGCAGCAGGCCTGCTATAAAGAAGCCCCTGCTCGTGACGAGGTCCAGACGGGGGATGTCCAGCCACAGGCATGAGCGCCTGAAGCCCAGCCGAGCTGCCCGTCACTCGTGGAACAGGGCAGGACGTACACCTGCAGCCTGGCCAAACTGCAGATTCACGTGCAAAATCAAAGTCTGATGCTGTGCAAAGTCACGGAGCTTAAAGTAGCTGGTGATGAGGCAATGATGACCAGAAAAATTTCACAATTAGGAAAAATGAACGGCACAAAAGTTAAAAACATAAATAAAACCTTCACCAGTCTATGCAGTCAATGAGACCTTGAAGAAAAAACCCTACATCTCGGGGAACGCTGCCCCACAGACTTCCTATGGAACTGACACACAGATTTGGGCTCAGCTAGTGTTTTCCTTCACCAATGCAGGAGTGCCATCTAGCGTTAGAAAAACTAACTGCAGTCTTCATTGTAGGACAAAAATGTAAAAAAGATCCTCATTTTTACAAAATTGCTTCCAAGCGTGTATTGGGAGAATACCTACCATTCTCTCCTGCTCACTTTGAATTTTCATCTCTCAAATAGTGATCATGATTGCCAGCTAGGAACATCAACACAAAACACTGTACTCTAATCAAACCAAAGGCTTACCCCCCATTCTTAAAGCAAGAGGGCCCAGCACGTAACACAAAGACGAATGCTGGCATCGGCCAACCCGCTGAGCCACGAAGGGCACAGGAGGCAGTGGAAGTAACTGTGATAAAACTAAAGGTTTGTGCCTTCACCGAGTTAGTGCAGTGGAATTGCTGTTCTCTTTCCCAGCTGTTTTGGAGCTATTTGGGAATTTGAGCCCAGTACTTTCAGTTTTCATTTTCCCCCAAAAGAATTCAAAATTTTCTGTGAAATCTCCCCTAGTTTAAACATTAGTAGCCAATTCCAAATTAAAGCTCCATAGAAGAGCACACTGTGTAGGCCAAGCCAAACATAGCCAGGCCAAATTCAGCCTGCAGGCACAGGGTAGCTTCAGGTTCAAGGGGCAGTGATGAGCCAGGGCCTGGTTACAAGGAGGCGGAAGCAGAAATGAGAGCAAGGGAACATTCTAAATTCTCTCAAGTCCGCACCCATCCTAACCCTTCTGAGCCAGGGGTAGCTGAGGCTGCTCCCATCTGGTACCAGCCAGCTAGAAGCCCAGAGAAGAAATGGCTAAAACAGACTCTAAAAATGTGAACTATTCAACTGGCAACAAATGAACAAAAGCTATTGAAAGAAAAGAAAAATAGCATGAACAGCATTCACCAAATCAGAAATGCAAAATGTCAGTGAACATGAAAAAAATTTACTCTCACTAATAATTAGGACACCAAATTGAAAAGACAGATACCAGGTTCACTTATTGTAAAATAACAACCAGGTAAGAATTAGAGATATGTATGTAAAAATGCCCAAATCAATGTTTGTTTAGACTTTAAAAAATAGAAATAACAATAGGCATTTGCTTAAATTCATTAATCATGATACATCAAAAGACTACTATGAAGTCATTAAAGCCGATAATAATCTAGACATTGTTGATAATACACCTTGTTCTACAAATGAGTTACAGGTAACCTAAAAAGTATATAGTATCATCCCATTTTTATAAAAAAATAAATAAACACATTTATGAGTATAAATGTATACATGAGTGTGTATGTGTATACATATATAAAATGTATGAGTATGCTATGCACTGAAAAGTCTAAAATTATATAAACCAAAATGTTAACTGTAATCTTTTTAATTCATATTTTATAATTTTATATTTTATTTTATGTATAATAAAGTTATTTGTAGTTTTTCAAGTTATTTTCATACCATGAACTATGAGCTACCTAACAGCTCATCTCCTGTATGTCCATTTCCTAAATATTAAGAAAATTATGAAAATAAAGATAAGACATAACATAAATATGCTGTTATGTGTGCTAAGACTGCAGGACACCAAGCATTAAAACATTTTTCATATTTAAATTGTAATTCTAATCACTGATTCTTCAGACCAGAATAACTGAGAATTTTTCAAACACAGGAGCTACAACCAGACAGAAAACTAAAGAATCATTAAAATAACTATGGCCAGAGTCCAGAGTGTCTCGTGACAAATCAATGGTTAAAAGATGCCATTACAGCCTTGTAAAGAGATGAAAAACCATTGAACTACACATTTTAAAGAGTGAAATTTATGGTATATGAATTATATTTCAATTTTTTTTAAAGACGCCATCAAGGGCCAACTTAAGAACTTCTTTCAGACTTACTCATAACTACCACCATCCCAGAATCTCCACAGCTGAGAAGTCAGTGCACCCCAAGTAAAGCACAACTCTGGGTGCCGGGTGGAACGTGAGCCCACCACTGACAGTGCCCCAGTACGTGCACAGGGAGCAACGGGCCAGCAGTGCCCGACACAGGGCCCCGGTGCTATGTCTCCTTGTGCCTCTCCAGCCCACCTCCTCCAGGACACTCAACACACAGGACACAAACATGTTTGCTTCTCTGCCACTCCCAAAAATGTGGGTGCTCCTCGGGGGTATGGCCTATGGCTCCATCATCTTTCCTACCCCAGCCTAGCACTGTGTCTGACACATAGTAGCAATTCAACAAATATCTGAATGAATCCAATGGCAACTTCTACACTCCTGTGAAATCCCTCAAGACTGGTATGTACCCTTCAACTAGGATAAGCCTGGCACCTTAAAAAAACAGTCTCTGCGGGTAAGATTCCTCAAGGGAGGAACAACCTAAGACAGGCACAGTCGCAGGGGGGCCATCAGGTGAGAATTTGGGGATCAACAGAGGTGAGGCTCAGAACCTCACCCCCCCCGCTTTGAGAGAAATCTTCTGCATCCGTGGATGTCTTGCTGCCCTTGTCCAGCCTGGATTAATACTTAGTCCATAGGCGCACAACTGATCATCTGATCATCTACATTTGCCCTCTTACAGCACTAAACTATGTTTTCTACCTTTATCTTGCATCTACCTACCACTTCAGCATTTTATTAAAAATAAAAATAATAATAATAATAGGAGAAATGTGGGATCAACATATAAATCAAGTACAAAAATCAAA